TCTGTCCCACCCTTTCTTCAATGGAAGTAGCAGGAAGCGCACCCTGGGTCTGAGCCCTGTCTCCGCTGGGAATGGAGCTCCTCATCTCTGTCTAAACTAGGGGTCTCTCCTGCATGTTCATTTCTTGCTAGCCCAGATACCTTTCCCCTGCTGCCAGGGGAGGCACGGCTCACTCCCCTGTCTTACAAGTCACCGGGGGAGGGTGCTCCTTTGCCTGTTCCCTCCCTCTGGCGCATGCGTTGAGGGTAGAGGTCAAAGCGTCAGGTATCAGATTGCCAGGCTGATTCCTTAATCACTTCTCCGTTTTATTTTTTGAGGCAGGGTCTCTTACTGAACCTAGAGCTCACTGTGTCAGCGAGACTGCCCAGGGAGCCCCCAGAGATCCTCCTGCCTCCGCACCTCCTCCCAGGACTGGGGGTTACAGATGCACCCCACCACCACCACCACCACCCTCAGCTTTTATCTGGAGGCTGAAGTTCCAAACTCGGGTCCTCCTCGTGCTTCTATAGGAAGCCCTGTCCCTTACCCACGGAACCACCCCTCCAGCCCCCGCCCCCTCTGTTTTAATAGAGCCATAAGCCACGGGCCCAGCAGCGAGAGAGGCACGCTGGCCTCCTGTTCAGCTGTCAGTTCTCCAGTGGGGCTTATCTGTCCCTTCACACCATGTTCACTTGTCAAAGGAGCCGGGGGGCTGCGTGTGACAGCCAGGTTAAATAAATACTGCCTCCTTCCACTCCGCCCAATTCCTGTCCTGTTGCCGAGGATAGTGTCTTCCCAGCCTCCACGGATGCTGGTGTATTGTCACCTATCCTTATTTGATTAGTGTCGCATCAAAATGCCTGAGGCCATCTCTGCACAGCGAGAGCATGGGGATGGATATGCCTCCCTCCTCCTTTGCTGCCCAACGGCTGCTCCCTGGAAAAGTGGAGAGGCAGGACAGAGGAAGGAGAGAGGAGGAGGGAAACAGGGTAAGTCCCGGAGCTCAAAGAGAGGTGCTAAACAGGCCAGGGGCTCAAAAGCTCCAAGCCTGGGGCCCAGCATGTCTGCCCTCCCCCATCCACTGCGGCCTCTCCGAGCTTCTGTGGTGGAGGATGTGGCAGGGGCTTTGTGGCTTCCCTCATTAAGGAGAACTGGCACCCTGATCCCAGTGATGCTGGTGAGATGGTCCTAGGCTGTGACACCCCACCTCAGGGGTCACCATGGTCTCATTTATGCATACACAACACAGCGAGCCCAAGCGCAATCGTGTGCAGAGAAGACACTGAGAGGGTGTGGCTCTTTCCACTGATGATACGACTGAAAGAATGGAGTGGAATGTGCACAAGGGCGCAAGTTCAATTCCCCCCCGAAGCCCACATTTTAAAAGTTAGTCATGGTGGTAAAGGTTCCCAATCCCAGTCCTGGGAAGATGGAGACAGATGGATCCCTGAGGCTCACTGGTCAGCCAGCCTCGCTGAACTTGGTGGACTCAAGGCCAATGAGAGACCCTGTCTCAAGAAACGAGGAAGATGGCAGCTGGGGAGCAACCGCCAGGTGGTCTTCATGTGCACGTGTGTGCACACACACCTCCATACACAGGCGCATCTGCAGACACACAGACACATAAAAGCAATGCCGTCGGGGATGGGGACATGGCTCCATTGTAGAGCATTTGCCCACCATTCATGAGGCTTCGGGCTCCATCCCCACTATTGGGGGGGGGTGGCAGGGGGAGACACGAGAAAATAAGAATAGTTAAAAATCCACTACATCAGAATAAAAAGGCAGATCCGGCCCCCGTGAACAGGTGTTTTGTCTTTGTCTCCACTGCTGGGCGAGGGTGAACCGTGCCAGCTGATGTTAGACATGGTCCCCGGTGAGCAACAGGGACAGCATGCGCAGCCTCACGTTCACTGACAACAGGCAGACACGAGCACCCAGATGCCAGAGCATGCACATGCTACCTCGCTTCCTCCCTCCCTTCCTGCATCCCCCGGGAATCCATTCCAACCTACCCAGCAGAACGGGAGGAGAGGAGGATAGACCCGCATCCAGCCATAATTCTCTCCCTCTCCTTGTGAAAACAAAAGGAACAACTCAAAGCCTCATCCAATATTCATCGGGAAGCATCCCGACATGATCCTGGGAAAATAAGTCTTGTCTGAGCCCACAATTCCAGAACAGTCTCTCCAGAGCCTGGGAGCAGCCAGGACCGGCCAGGAATAGGGGATGGGGCTTGCAGAGGCACTTTGTGGAAAAGCTTAATTACGATTCACAGAACCGCAGCGTGGAGATGGTTTACAGCCACTTAATTAGTGGAGGAATATACAGCCATGATTATCCTGAAACACGGCCTAATTAACCTATGGAAAAGCCAGGGCCACCACTCAGCAATGCTGGAGATGGGAGTAGCCTGTTAATGTACCCCATCTACTCTGGGGCACTACTTTGTGTGGGGACACAGGTCTGGGACAAACAGGAGGAATAGGGCTGGCCCTGGAGAGTGACCATGCATAAAGTGAAACTATTAACAAGTAGACAAAGAAAGGAAACCCAGATTGATAGTCACTGAGTACTACCACAGGCCAAGTGGTATTCTGCTCCATTTCCCAAGTAAATTTCAAGATAATCCTATAGCATGGATATTGACATTCAGAGAGGTTCATCACTAGACATAATGCCACACAGCCAGGAAACAGTTAAAGACCCTGCTTTTCCTGTTATTCCACACTGTCTTTCTCAGGCCCATCAAGCTAAGGGAACCCACTCAACCCGGAAGAGGGTATTTTGACTCCAAGGAGCCACCGCCCACTCTGAGGTATGGGAAAACTGGAGTCATTCAAGCTTCCTAGAGCAGGCTCAAGCTGAGGAGGACTTTGTGGATGAGCGGGCATTCACAAGGGCCACAGTGGGAGTGAGGTCCGGTAAGGGGCAGTGTGCAGAGGTACTCTGCACAGCCTTTAAACAAAAACCCAAGCCACCGCCTCAGCCTTGGTTCTGAGCGCAGATCTTGGCCCCAAACCAGAGAAAACACATCTGAGAAGCCATATGGGCCAATCCTCAGGGACAGGCTGGTGCCACCACGGACGAAAGCTTGGAGTCCTCCAGGGGGCGCCCGAGAGCCAGCCGTGTGCTCCAGTTTATCTGGCCAGCAGGTCGAGGAATATTCCAACAACGTCCTCATTCTTCGCTGATCAAAGGAGCCGGGATTGAACCTGCTGTAATCATCCGCTGGGGAGTTTGCTTAAAATTCCCCTAATTACGGGAGAGCAGAAAATTGCTATGCCTCAGACTGAATAGAGAAATCGAAGGCGCCCTGCTCCAGCTGCCAGTCTGGGAACTGAGAGGCGAGGGGGCCCGGCTACAAACTCCAAGGAGAGGAGGGAGAACCAGGTTCCTGGCCTGTGCCAGGAGCGGGAGAGGAAGGCGAGGAGCCACTGCGATGGGAATGTGGTGACTGGCTCAGGTGTGGCACCCACTTTCCTGGGGGG